AACCCACAATCTTATCTAATCCTTTTTGTCAGGTGAGGAAACAGATACCAAACATCATAAAACGTGTAAGAGAATGAAAGGTGTAAATGGGTGCATATATATTAAAAAAAAAAAACACCATTTTTAATGAAAGAAACTAATATCCACACATTTGTACTTATGTACAATTGGGGTAATATATAATTTTAAGCTGTTTACAAATAATATGTAATGCTTCAAATATTACATAAGGTTGATAATATATTTCTAGCAGAAATAAATATATTGCACTTAAAAAGAACTGCATTAGATGTTACTTCATAGTATTAGGCTTATAACTTTTTTCATAAAACATTTCCCATGCCCTTCCCCCCACCCCCAGCACACACATTTCATTACAGTGACTGTTCTCACGCAATTCATTAAGCAAATGAACACAGCAAACAACAGAACTGTGATAGTGTCTACTAAAGAAGCTATATCCAATTTTATCCTTTAGGAAATAAAACAATTTCTTTTACGTTTCTGAAAATAAGGGAGGAAAAAATCCAACTAAACACAATATTTTAATGAACTAGAAGTAAAATACAACTTGTATTTTTTGTCCATATGTATGATTTCACAAAAATGATTTTGTTTTCTTATCAAGATATTTCATTTACAAAGGAGAGGGTAATGAAGTTATTTGAGGGAAGGACAGAGAAGAAGGGCTAGAAAATACATATGGAATATTTGCCGATCAAATATTTATAAATAAACCTTTCCATATTTAAGCATTCTGAAGAAAGGTAAGTCTTGGAATATTATAATTGGCATAGAATATGAATAGCAAAGAAAGGATTTGATGGTTTTCTAAAGTTTAAGGAGTTTGTAACCTTCCCTTTGCGTGTTTACAAAAAAATCTGTAATTCTAAAATAACATAAAAACTTCTATAAAACCCATCTTCCAGCCAGGCACAGCTCTTTAAAGGAGAAAGCTCAAAATCTTATCATCTGTCCAGTGATTTGTCTAGATTTAGGGTAGAGTATTGCTTTGTTTGTAATAATTATCAATTTCCTACATGTTTAATAGTGACAACAGTTTTTCTTACTTAGTCACTGGAAGATTAAGTTGTTTTTCTTGCAATTTGTTACTCTGCACATTACATAACTGGATTTTTTGAACTTTTTAGTTACTGAGTCATGGCTAAGCTTGACTGGGTATTTAATGGGGTGTAAAGTCATTTCATCCTCTTTATTCAAAAGTGATTTTTCTCAATATAAATCAGCTTATATTTAAGCAGGACAGCCTTTCAGGCTGTTTATCCCAACATCCTTTTGAAAAAGGCAGCATGGGATAAGGATGCTTTACTTCTAAGAATATTTATTCCTTGGCCTTTCAGAGGGTTTTTTTTTTTTCTTTTTTGGTGGGAAGGGAGCAGTTAGAGAGGAAAGTGTGTGTTGTGGCTGGAGAAGCAAAATGACAGAGATATGGATAAGGAGGGGAGACCTTGGAATGCCCCAGAAGTCAGTGTAACTCCTACAATATAGCTGTACACAGGGCCTTTGCTAGATGATGATTCATCAGGAAGCTTCTTAATATCTCTTACTCTGTGCCCACCTACTAGGAATGACGGTAGGCCTTCTGGACAAGTTACCATTGTTATTAACTCAAAAGATCCAGCAATACAATATAAGCTCATTAATCTACATCTTGTTAACTAATAATCTGTGATGTGTTAGACAAGTTGGATATGTTTACCTACATATTGCTAAGGGTAGACAGAGGAGAGGAGAAGACTAAGTTAGTAAAAAAAAAAAAAAAAAAATTGAGGCTGGGCGCGGTGGCTCACACCTGTAATCCGAACACTTTGGGAGGCTGAGTGGGCAGATCACAAGGTCAAGAGATCGAGACAATCCTGGCCAACATGGTGAAATCCCGTCTCTACTAAAAATACAAAAATTAGCTGGGCATCGTAGCGCGTGCCTGTAATCCTAGCTACTCAGGAGGCTGAGGCAGGATAATTGTTTGAAACCAGGAGACAGAGATTGCAGTGAGCCGAGATCGTGCCACTGCACTCTAGCCTGGGAACAGACTGAGACTCCGTCTCAAAAAAAAAAAAAAAAAAAATGAATCTACTCAGAATTATTGATATTTTAAAAACAAACCACAACTGTTAAGTTCTGAATTAATTCCTCAGGATTAGATAAAGCACGTCTGGCAGGACCTCTTTTTAGCAGCACTTCCCATTAGCCATGCTTTTTGACACTATAATATACTCGTGGCTTGGGGAGAGAGGTGGGAGGAACCCTGAATATATGCCAAATATATTATAATTCATGGCCTTTATTATTCAATTGGCTTTCCCATTAAATATGTAGTTCTTGAAATTACTTTTGCCAGAATGGGCTTTGGAATTTTAAATACTAAACTCCCAAGGGTTTAATAAGAATCAACCACCAGGATACCTCAGAAAGGCCCAGGGAGGGGAAATTTCTACCCCTTGGTTTCCATGACTCAAGTGACTCTGATGAGGTTAAGCTCTATTTCACTTGTGCTTCTTTTCTCTGGTTCGGATAATACTTAAAAATATACATCCAATTTAGATTTTAGGTCTGACTAGTCTTTGTTTTCTCTAAGCACTCTTATTTATAGTCTTATATTGCTTAATTACAAAATAAAATTATGAAGTCAGGAAATACTAGTGTAAAACCATATTTAACAAAAACACACAAATATCTTTGAGACATGCAGATTGGCAGAAATGTATGTATTAAATGTATGTATCAAAACAGTATGTATTAAAACAATCTTTTCATCCTGTTTGAAAATAAAATTCAGACACAGATTTCACCTTAGTAGACCAGTAAGTTATCAGGGTATTGAGTAGCATTATGTAAAACAGCATCTTTTGTTATTCCTGCTTTAAGCAGCAGTACTCTATATTCAAAAGAGCACTGGCAACAGGCCAGCTATTAAATAGTAAACCCCTATCCTAGCTCTATGGATAGTTTAAACATTACTCATAACAGGTTTTTTAAAGAAATGACACCTGTACTTTGTTTGAAAACAAACTACCTGTGGATACTACAGCATAACATGCAACAAGTTAAAAATTAGCCCACAGTGTTTGCTGTAGGATCATGAGATGCTTTGTTAACACAGCCTATGCTTTTCTGTAAGTAAACTTCAGAGTATAGTGGAGAATAGCAAGTGCAAAATCCAACAACAGCATCACCTAGACAGGCTGTGCCATGATGCCTTGTTTCACAGGCTGGAAGTGCCCACAAAAGCATGTGATATGGAAAAGGCTAACATTAAAACCACCAAATAAAATCCCATGGGAGTCTGATGTGATAAGTATATTGCATTTCCCCCAAAATACACTTCTACTGTCAGTAGAAATATTTCCCATCTTTTTTAACAGATTCAATACTTTTGTAGCAAGAAGAGTAGAATGAATATTACATACAAAAAATTAAATTAGAGTTTTGGAGAAATTTGCTAAGACGACAGGTTACATCCTGTAGTTGAAGTGCATTAAATCTGAAGTTGAAAAACTATTAATTTCATTAAATATGTTATTAGGGAAATAAATTGTTGCAAAATGCCAAATGTGTTACCCTGACTGTAAATGCTTATATATATATATCTATATATGCTGTTCAAAAACAATATACAGGTCATATATAACTAAAATATAATTTGTTGCTATTATAAACATTAAAGGAAGGCTTAAGAAGATAGCAAAAGTTGAAAATAAAGTAGAAGAATGCTTTAGTTGATTTATAAGAACTGCCAACATTTCAGTTATGAAGCCATTATGTTATCAAGCAATTTAAGATTACAGACCTAGCAAAATGGTAAAGGAGTCACTAAATGTAACACAGTAAGGAAAAAGGCCAAATTAGATGTATGGACACGTTTCCACTCAGGAGCACAGGTTAAATCATGGCTATCCTGGCATTTAGAATGGTCATTCTCAAATCCTTGCCAATCAGTGGCAGCAACAACAAGACAGATTTACTGAAAATGAGAATTTGTTCAGATGCATTTTAACATCCACAAGGTCTCCCAAAACTAAAGGAAAATGAAGGGACCTCTGGCACTAATGGCAGAGAGAAATCCTTTTGGAATAGAATCACCATCCTTCTGTTGCAGCTGTAAGTGAAAGCAAGCCTCACATAACATCATGCCTAGGCTTTGGAGTGTTCCTCAGTGAATTAGTCAGTAGTGTGTTTAGAACGCAGCCCAGAAAAATCAAACTTCAGTTTTACCATGTAATATAGAGAGGCTCTTGCTTCAAAACTGTACATGGAAGATTTTTCCTCTATAACCCTAGCCCCAACCCTAACTCTGGCAAGTATTTGCAATAAAGAAAACTAGGAAGAAAGAAGACTATGAAAACCAAGCTTGTTGGTTACTGGCCCTTCAGTATTACAAATAGAACTTTGTGAGGTCATTACCATGTATTCATCCACAAAACAGGATGCATTAGCATTATCTCAGCTCCTTCCCCAGCAGACTAACACAAAAGAAAACGAAACATGCTTATGCTATGGCACTACAAGTATTTCTCTACTGGCTCCCCTTTTCTACAGGGATAAATTGACTTCAGTTAGTCATTATGGTCAGTATGCTATATAGTATGGCCTCTTTGAAGATTCTTTTATCCTGTGAAAAGCAGAAAGAAACCCTATACACAGTGATTTTATACATTACCGCATCAACACAGCGTTTTAACCATGAGGAATAATGCACTTTAAGATTCATCAGCCTTGTATTATTAAACTTTCAGGCTGGCTGAGAACTTTACATGGATTCTCTCCTGAACCCAAGAGCTGTCCCTCAACTACAGATGAATCCTGGTCCGTGGTGCATTCCCTCAGTGGTAGGTTTTATTGTGAGTCCAGCTCTCCTCTTTGATAGGTCCTGTGTCTCCTGGAAAGCCCCTGCTCCAATACCCCACATCCTACCCACCCAGCCCTGTCCTATATTTCCATACCCATTTGCGCATTCTGGGTCTCCATTTTTAGAAGAGTCATACAAATGGCGTCATCACAGCAGAGGAATGGCGTAGTCCTTGAATGGCAGCATAGGGCCCCTGCTGAAAATAGTGATGGTATCGCGGCATGTGGAATGAAGGGAATGTGGGGCCACTCCCTTGCATGGAGCTGGCAATGGCCGATGGGGTCAGAGGCATTCCCAGTCGGCTATATGGTGGCAGAGAACCCTGGATGGGGTGAGGAATGGGTGTTGCTATGGATGCTGTGCTGGTGCCAAGAGCAGTCAGGGACTGTGGGTGCTGAAACCCAGGAAAACTGGAAGAAGATGATACCCAGGAGCTGAGAGACAAATTATCAGATGTTGTAAAGGCTGACCCTGTAAGGAAAAATACTCATTAGGCTGGAAACACTGTGTCAATGTACAGATCAAGAATTAAATTATCTGTAAAGATCCATTTGTGTTTAAGAATATTTAATACATCTATAATTTAGAAAGACAAACACACATGAGATCTGTCATGAGGCAGATCCACCTTTCTAGATAAGAAGATGATATTTACACCTCCATGGAATAGAGAATTTACTAAATGGAAAAAGACAACTCATTGGATAGCCTGCAGCCTCCCACAGAGTGGCCAAAACATTAATACCCTGCCTGCAGTTAATGACCTGATTCTCTTAAAAGAAACTGCAAATACCTGATATCTGTTCTGACCTCTGTAATGTCATAAGGAAGACTGAATGTATTAAATCTCTTCCAAGCTGTCTGGTTTCCAAAACTGTTGTGAGAACCTAAGAAAGTAAGTTTTCCTACCACAGCATCCAGAAATGTAGAATAGAGTTGACACTGAATTTTCTGACTGTACACAGTTGACCCTTGAACAACAGCGGTTAGAACCACATGGGTCCACTTACATGCAGATATTTTTAAATACAATTTACACTGAGTGTGCCTGACCCCTCTTGCCTCACTTTCACCTCCTCCACCTCTTCAGCCTCTACAACCTCCGAGACAGCAAGACCAACCCCTCCTCTTCCTCCTCTGCCAACTCAGGGTGAAGATGAGGATGAAGATCTTTATGATAATCCACTTCCACTTAAGGAATAGTAAATATATTTCCTTTCTATGATTTTCTTAATAACTTTTTCTCTAGCTTGATTTATTATTAGAATACAGAATGTAATACATGTAGCACACAGGATATGTGTGAATTGACTGTTTAAGTTACAGGTAAGGCTTCTGATCAACAGTAGGCTATTAGTAGTTCAGTTTTAGGAAGTCAAAAGATATATGCACATTTTGGACCACACAGGAGTTGGTTCCCTAACCACTGTGTTGTTCAAGAGTCAACTGTAATACTAGTGGTTCACTTGGACTGAGTAATAAGAAATGTCCTATGTTTTCACGGATTATATAATTTCATATTAAGGACATAAAACAATGACAGAGGACTCTCTCCCCACACGAACTTCCCTGTTCCCAGAATGGAGCACCTCTGAGCTCTTTTCTCTGGACTCTCTTCCCAGATGCAGAGGGCTGCTCTCTAAGCCATGGGAACAGAGAAACTTTGTTCAGTTCCTGCTGTCAACATTGGGGCCACTGCCTCTATGTAATATCCTTCATTAGGAAAATCCTCTTTTAAAAGTGTTTTCTATTTTGGTCTTTGATTCTAACAAATTATTCCTGACACAGATGGAACAGATATATTCCCTGATTTTCAGATTATGAAACTGAGGTTCAGAAGGACTTGGGGACTGACCCCAAAGTTCAACAGCTCTTATGTACTAAATCATGGACAAGTAACTCCTGATCCCTGACTCAAAGGCTCAGTTTCTTTCACTAAGAAAAACAAACCACAGGAAACCTGCAGGCAGCATCATCACCTATGATTCAAAGGCAAAATAATGAAATGTGTGAGAATCAGTGTAGGGGCTCTTCCTTCCCAGGGAGGCTCCTGAAATCCTTTCCGGGCATCGTGTACTCTGAGGACTGGCCGTCTCATCAACGACCTGCCCCCATTCTCCTTTAGGTGCTCTGGCTCCCAGCAATTCCATGGCCTTGGAAGCTACCTTACCTCGATTTGGGGTTGTCTGACTCTCATCCCCCAAGACATCTTCTTCTCCTCCATAGGTACGGATGGGTGAGCGCGCATAGGAATGCTTTTGAATCAGGCTCTCCACACTTTCCCTAGGTTAGAGTGACACATCACAGGTTAATTAAAATGTAAAGGACTCAGAGATAGAGAGAGGTCTTAGAGGTAACTCACTAATCATTAAAGCCATTTTCTCAGCCAAAAAGCAACCACTGCACAGAAAGATGAAATTCAAAACATGTACATTTATTCTACTGCACAGTGACTCCTCAGAGACATGACCTCAGGTGTATGACTGCAAGCAAACATGACTGACTAGGACATGGACAATCCCCTGAAATACTTTAAAATGAAGGACAAAGGGGTGAACAGGAGCTATGAAACCTGACCACAGGAATATGGAATTCCATGATGTGAAAAATAATGAGTGAATGAATTTACTACAAGGAGCTGCAATGACTCTTCTTACTGACTTCATCAGCTAACAAATACAAAACAAATACTCAGTTGATACAAATTGCACTGATCCAACAACCAATGAAATGTTGGCAAAAAGTTCAAATTCTCATTAGTCATCAAAAGACTCTAATACGCACCAAGAAATCAAGCAAATTCATAGGTTATAGTACAATATGGATAGTTTGGATAATGAACACTAAGATCCTTGTTGCTGTAAGACTGAAAATTACAAAAAACCCATGAAGAAAACACAAATGGCCAATAAGGAGTTTTAGCCTCTAGGTAAATTGGTACATTGTTTTGTAGATGGTCTTCCTCCTGTAACATAGTCCATCAACCAAAGAGTGAGGTTAACTTTAAAAAATAAAAAATTATTTTGGCATTGGACAATTTGACCTTCTGCTTTAAAAAACAAAAACAAAAACAAAAAAAGGCAGTACAATTTTAGCCAATTTGTTTGCCAAAACTGCATACTGATAACAGATTAGTCTGCATGGCACACATTTCTGGAACAGCTGTGGCCCAAAGACCAATGCCAAACTGACCACCGAAGGACAAAAGAGGACTTATAAAATACGTGTTAAATAAGGAAGGACAAACAAAACACCACATTTCATATTGAGGGAATAAGCACAGCAAACAAAATGTCATAATAACTTTTTAAAATGTTAACACTTCAACATTTCACGTAAGTATGCAAACTTTACCTGTGAAAAATTACTACCTAATTCATAGTAAATTTGGTGTTGTAGAAAGCTTGTATACCCACATAGATGAAGGCATTTTATAATATATAGTATGACTATGAGGACTTAAGGATATGCCTAAAAGGAAAATTAATTCTGCAACTATTTAAGTTATATCACTATTCTCAAACGGTTTTAGAGTAAGAAGAAAGCACCACCTCATATTGTCAAAATAACACAGCATTAACACATAGGTGTCAAAAAGAATGAGGTCATTCCATATGTACAGATATGGAATAATTTTCAAGATGCAGTAAGTGAAAAAAGTAAAACACAGAATGATATGTAAAGTATGCTACCATTTGTGAAGTTAGAACACAGGATATGTATGTTCACATATGCCTGCACGTGCATAGGATTTCTAGAATGTTCCAGTTTCCAGAACAAGAAACTGCCTAGAAAAGGTTGCCTCTGCGGGGTGAAACCAGGAACCTGAAGGACTGGAGTAGTGATTCTCAAATTTGTGTATATGTTTGAATCAACTAGGGATCTTGAAACAAACAAAAAAAACTATATTAAGATATGATTAAAATACAGAAAGTGGCACATATTTAAAGTGTACGGGGCCAGGGCCAGTGGCTCACGCCTGTAATCCCAGCACTTAGGCAGGCCCAGGCGGGCAGATCACCCAAGGTCAGGAGTTCAAGACCAGCCTGGCCAACATGGCAAAACCCTGTCTCTATTAAAAATACAAAAATCAGCTGGGCATGGTGGTGGGCACCTATAAACCCAGCTACTCAGGAAGCTGAGGCAGGAGAATTGCTTGAACCTGAAGGCAGAGGTTGCAGTGAGCCGAGATCACGCCACTTCACTCTAGCCTGGACAAAAGAGCGAAACTCCATCTTAAAAAAATAAAATAAAAATAAAGTGTATAGTTTGATCAGTTTGGACATATGTATGCACCAGTGACAGCATTGACACAAGTAAAATAATGAAAATATCTAACACTTACGAAAGCTTCCTCAAGCTCCTATGCTCCATGGTCCCCATCGCAACAAATCTTTCCAAGGAAACCACTAATATAATTTGTTTTTGCAGATTAGTCTGCATTTTCTAAACTTTTATAAAGATGAAATCTTATCTAATATATTCTTTTTTATCTGGCTTTTACTCAGCAGATTTTAAGATTTATCATGTTGGGGCATACATTAATATTTCTTGCTATGAGTAGCATTATATTACATGGATATATTATGGTTTATTCACTTATTGATGGATATTTGACTTGTTTCAGTTTTTGAATGTTACAAATGAGGCTGCTACACATATTTATGCATACTTTTTAATAAATGGACATATACTTTTATTTATCTTGGAAAGACACCTAAGGATGAAATGACTAAATTGCATGGTTAGGTATAAGTGCAATTTATAAGTGCCAAACTATTTGTCAAAGTAGTCATACAATTTAGCATTCCCACCACCAGTGTATGAGAATTCCAGGTCCTCTATACTCTCACTAACACCTGATACGGTCAACATTTAATTTTAGCTATTGTAATACGCATATGCTGGTATTCTATCATACTTTTAATTGTGTTCCCCCAATGACTATAATGTTGAACATCTTTTTCTGTGCTTATTTGCTTCCATATTTCTAGCTGTTAATATTCTGTTCATTTAAAAAATCAGGTTGTTTTCTGAGTTTTGAGATTTCTTTTTCTATTCTGGGCACTGGTGTTTATAGAATATATGATTTGCAAATATTTTCTTGTAGGCTGTGGCTTGTCTTTTCTCCTTCCTAAACAGTTTCTTTCTAAAAGCAGAGTTTTTAATTCTGATGAAGTGCAATTTATCCATTTATAATTCTATGGATCATGCTTTTGGTGCCATATTTTAAGATCTTTGCCTAACCCAAGACCACAAAAGTTTTCTCCTAATTTTTTTCTGAAAGTGTTATAGTGTGAGGTTTTATGTTTGTGTCTATGATTCATCTTGAGTTAATTTTATATATGAATGAGTTATCAATTGTTCATTTTTGTGCTTATGAATATCCCATTATTTCAACATTACTTGTTGAGAAGACTGTCCCTTCTCCATCACATACATGTGGGTCTGCTCTTGGACTCTCTATTCTATTAATGTGTTTGTGGAACTTGACACCAAAACTATACTGTCTTGATTATCCTAGCTGAATAAAAGTGTTAGTACTTTTGACATTAGAATTAGTACTCTATCTTTTTTTTCAAAGTTGTTTTGGCTATTCTAGTTCTTTGCATTTCCATGTGAAATTTAATATTACTTTGTCAATCTCTACAAAGACGACTTCTGTAATTTTGATCAGGATTATTTTAGATCTACATATCAATTTGTGCATAACTGACATCTTAATATTGCATCCTTCAAATTATGAACCAGTATATCCTTCCATTTCATTAGGTCTTCTTTAATTTCTCTCAGCAATGTTTTTGTAGTTTTAAGTACATACATCTTGCATATCCTTTGCCAGATTTATCCCTACTTTGTATTATAGTAAATACTGCTTTTTAACTTCAATTTCTGATATTCATTTATAATAGATAGAAATACAATTTATTTTTTATATTGATCTTATATTCTGTGAACTTGCCAAACACTTATTTGTTCTAGTGGGTTTTGGAGATTTGGGGTTTTTGTATAGATAATCATGATGCCTGTACACAAAGATAGTTTTACTTCTGTCTTTCCAATCACAATGACTTTGATTTTTCCTGACTTATTGCCATGGCTAAAACTACCTGTACAATGTTGAATTGGCAGTGGTAAGAAGGGCTGGGCACAGTGGCTCATGCCTGTAATCCCAACACTTTGGGAGACCAAGGTGGGCAGATCACCTGAGGTCAGGAGTTCAAGACCAGCCTGACCAACATGGGGAAACCCTGTCTCTACTAAAAATACAAAATTAGCTGGGCGTGGTGGTGTGTGCCTATAATCCCAGCTACTCGGGAGGCTGAGGCAGGAGAATTGCTTGAACTCGGGAGTCGGAGGTTGCGGTGGGCCAAGATTGAGTCATTGCACTTCAGCCTGGGCAACAAGAGAGAAATTCCGTCTCAAAAAAAGAAAAAGGAAAAAAGAATGGACTTGTTCTTTATCTTACAGAAAGCATTCAATTTTAAAGGTTAAAAATAACCTTTACCAGACTAAAGGTTCTCTTCTATTCCTAGTTTGCTGAGAGTTTTCAAGAATTGAGGTTGAATTTTGTTAAATGCTTTTTCTGTGTCTGCTGAGATAATCATATAGTTTTTAGTTTGTCAGTATGATTATTACATCCATTGAATTTCAACTGTTAAATCGACCTTCCATTCCTGAACTAGGCCCTAGTTATTTATGTCATATATTATCGTTTTTTAAAATCAATTTCCTAAAATTCTCTTCAGAATTTTTCCATGTATATTCATGAAGAATATTGATCTTTCTCTAGTTTTAGTATCAAGATAAGGCTAGTCTCATAGAATTAGTTAAAACTCTTCCCTCCTCTTCAATTTTCTAGAAGATTTCAGGTAGAATCGTCATTATTTCTTCCTTAAATGTTTGGTATCATTCACCAGTGAATGTGGACGTAGAGTTTTCTTTGTAAAAGGTTTTTAACTACAAATTCAAAATTATCGGAGTATCTGTTTTCTCTTGAATGAGCTTTGGTAGATTCTGTCTACAAGGAATTTGTCCATTTTGTTTAAATTGTTAAAATTTTAAGCGTACATGTTCACAATATTCCTTTATTATCTTTCCTTTTAATACCTGTAGAATCTGTAGTGATATTACTCCTTTCATTCTTGATTATGGTAATTTATATTTTCTTCCCTTATTTTCTTGGTCAGTTTGACCAGCAAACGGTCAATTTTATTAATCTCTGCTTTTTGTTTCATGGATTTTTCTCTACTGCTTCCCTGTTTTCTAGTCCATCAATTTCT